TATATATATATATATATCTATTATAAACAAAGTTTGACACTATTTATATTTGTGTCACATCAACATATCTCAATCATTTAAAACAGTAGTCTTTTACAATTTTAATTTTAACTTTTGGACTGTGAATAATAATTAATTCACTCTTATTGTCTTGTTTTAATACTCTAATTTACAATTTTTATTTACAACTTTTGTATATTTGAGTGTTATCCATCGATTTTTATATTTTTGACCATTAAATTTTGATCATTACAATGAGTTGTTTGAGTGTACGATGAGTGTTTAAAAAGAGATAAATTGAAAAGACTCTCTTTCTCACATATAACAAATAATGTCAATTTTGTAACATATGCAATATCTAGAAAATTCAAACATTCGATGTAAATCGAATGAGAGAGAAATTTCGTTTTTTTAGAAGGCACCCATCGAACATTCAATTTTTTATCATGAACAAAGTGTAAACTACAAATGAAAAAATGGATATACTCAAGAAATTGCAAATTGTTAAGTATGACAGCTTAATAAAAAGATCCGAATAAATCTGAAGATAGCTTAATAAAAAACCGAAACATGAAATGTCTATACGTATGTTTATTTAATCTTTCAATTAAATTTTATTCTATCTAATGTAACATCTACACTTTTAAACAATTATTTAACTCTTATATGTCCTTTATAATATTTATTTAAGTATTCAGATTTATATAAGATTGATATGATATATGATAATGTCTGTGAACAAATTGGTATGCAAATGAGGAAAGATAATTGTGATGAAATCGAAAGTCACAATCATCGATCGAATATTTACGAAATTACATACGCAGTAGTGGATTCTATCTGAATCCGGATCACTATGGTACGAAGAAACGAAAAATAGAATATGTGGTCCGGAGTTCGACACTGACGTGGTACAAACAAAAACTACATCGAAAGTACGCTTCTATTCAAAAAACGAGATCGAGGAATCGTTTAAGACGCTAGGAAATTATTTCTATGTTGGATCAGTCTAGAAAAACGTTTCTTTTCAGTAATTATTTATTTTTCATTAATTATTATCAGTAATTTTTTTGCTATTTATAAAATTTACATGGAGGACAGGGTTTTCAAATAACATTTACTACAATAAAAAATTTCTTTATAACATTACTGGTTATTATATAAGTAATTTATTATATAAGTAATTAATTTAGTTACACCAACAATAAAAACCACTAATTACACCAACAATACAAATATTTTCTCTAATATTACAAACATCTTCTATCAGCTCAAATTATAATAAGAAAAGTGAAATTTTAATGATTATAGATTAGCTAATATAAATTAAGTTTATATTTTTAAAATTTTCTATACTTTAGATTTCTATATTTTGGATAAGACGTACAACCAGTGCAGTACTAATTATTAGGTGTGGGAAAAAGTTCGTGGCATTTTTTTAATGCCATCTACGGGAAAAACGCCACGAACTTTTTCCCACACCTAATATTTATTATTTATTAAATCGCATGCAGACTACTGGACTTGCGTTCCGAAACAGTATTCGTATATACTACGTATCATCGCCTATTTTTATTATTTACTTTATATTGAAAAAGGAAGAAAGCTATTTGTAAAAGAATTGATAATAAACGTTCACATTGTTTATGGTAAACAAATTATGTCTATTAGTTTATTAATTTTTCTTACAAACTAACTTCTTGGAACTATTAATAATTCTCTAATTGTATAATTGTAAGAAAAATGAAAAAATTAATAAATTGAAAAATCTCATAAACATAATTTATTTACCATAAACAAAAACGTTTATTATCAGTTCTTTTGTAAGCTTCCTTCCTTGTTCAATATAAAGTGAATAATAAAGAACATGTGATATTTGAGTGCAGTTTCAGAACGCAAACTTATTAGTCTGCATGCAATTTAATGAATTAAATAACAGTATAGCGTATGATGATATGTATGCCTTATCAAAATTTGCGAAATCTGAAGTATACGAAATATCACAAATATGAATTTAAATTTATATTAGCTGATCTATAAGAATAACCCAAATTTCACTTTTTTTATTATAATTTGAGCTGATAGAAGATATTTGTAACATCTTTTGTGCTAATTGCAATCTATTTATCAAATATTGATTAAAATGACTTAAAAATTAAAACATCAAATTGTAAATTCTCCGTTAATTATAGCCGCCACTTTTTTATTTTTCAGGATTGTCATATGATTATCTTCAATATAATGTACTTTTACTTCACCTTGAGTTATCTTAAATAATTACATACGTCATTAAGAAAAACTTTTGTTAAATTTGATTTATTCAGTACAAACTATAATAAATTTTTTTAATACCTTGTGCAAATCATAATCCTTTTCGATCTTCATTGGTATAAACGAAGATGTACATTTTATTAATGTTATGGGAGACTTAATAGGCAGCAAAGTAGAAAGATCATAATTTCGGATAATGGATAAATGTTTGTACAGCGTAGTACATAATATCTTTAAATTTGAAAGTGAAAAATATGTACATATCTCTGAGAATCGTTTAGCGAAAATATTAAATCTTTTATCCCAACTCTCACATTTCTCCAATTCCATTAAAATCTACGAAAATATAAAAATTTTTATTTTTGTATACAAGACTGTAAAAGAATTGATTCACATAAAGAAATCGAAAAATAATATAAGTATATACCGTAAATTAGTTTCAATGTAAGTTCAAAACAAAAGTTGCACATACCTTTTGAGAACTTCCTGGTAAATAGTTTTCCAGAATATTAATTAATAAGTAAACCTGAAAATGTGCATCATCTGCAAAATCTGATTCTTTAGTTTGTTGGAGAAAGCTTGTTTGTAAAAGCTCAGGAGTACCATCGATAAAGACAAGTTGGCCCTTAAAATTCATATCTTCTAATTTTCTTGTTACTTCAATTGCAATAAAAGATCCGAAGGAATACCCTACTATTATAAAATCTTTTCCATTCGTTAGCTTCGAAAGTATGTGCTGTAAAAATACCCAAAGTATTCGATGAAATTTATATCTTTTAAATGCAAACAATACTTTATCAATATAAAATGAAATTATTAATACGATTGCATACATTTGTGAAACGATTAGCAGTCTCCATTATTATGTTTGTATAATTTATATCGTTTGTGTAATAATGCAAAACTGATGTTGAAAATTTAATATATGGTATTATGTTTTTAAATACAGTACCACATCCGTCAATACCCGAAATAAGAAGTACTTCAGTCGTAGTGTTCTGTTCGTTAGCCAAAAATTCAATTGGGAAAACAAACTCTTCATCTTTTAATATAAGACCAATAAATAATTGTTTAAAGTTTGGCTTCTTTTTGTTCCATTCTTTCTTTTCATTATTATCATTGATTGAAAGAGACATCTTAATAAGTGTTGCAAAAGTGAGATTTCGCATCTCTTGTGGTGCGATAAGTATATCAAATTCTTGTTCCAGAATTTGCTTGATTTCTACAGTCATCATAGAGTCCATTCCAAGTTCGGCCAGAGTTGAATTTGGACTTACAAACTTCATGTTACTTATGTCTACAATGTAGAATGTAAAATTATTATGATCTATAGTATAATGCTTTTTTATAAATTGGACTAACAAACAAATATGATAAGTATTTGCGAAAGAATAAATCTTCATAGGAGAACCTACTTAAAATATCAGCAACTGTTTCTACCAGACTTCTTTGAGCTTTCATTTTTTTTTCAGCTACAACCATGCTGCTCACAATGGGTCGACTTTGAAGTAGAAACTCATCAAGCTTGTCGAGACAGTAGGAAATCTTTTGCTGTAGAGTGCCTCCGATGACTAATTCCTTATCCTCCTCCTGCATGTCAGCGACAAGACCTACGTCACCCACAGCTCCCCACTGAATCGCCAATCCTGGTAATCCTTCCTCTGCTCTCTTCTCGCAAATTCTTTCCATGATGGAGTTAGCCATGCCATAATTAGTTTGCCCAGCATTTCCTCTGCCGCAGGAAACGGAAGAGAATACCACAAAATGCCGCAAGTTAAGACAGATTTTCCTCGAAAGTTTATCCAGCATTTGCGTTGCACGAGCCTTCGATTGGAAGGACTCTGCAAATGTTTCTGCAGTTTGGTTTTTGAAGATGCCATCCCTCAGTACCACACCCAGATTGAATATAGCGTCCACCGGAGCTTCTTTTTCTGCAGTCCTTAAAAGATATTCGCAACCTTTGAGATCAGCAACATCGATATTCTTGATGATTAGAACGTTTACGCCATATGATTTCCATAGTCGAACTTTCATGCGTTGATAACCGTTTTTTATTCCAGTTCTTGAAACCAGAACGATGTTTTTGGCACCACGAAATATAAGCCAGTCTGTTAATTCTAAACCAAATCCGCCCAGACCTCCTAGTATTATGTAACTCCTATCTTTGAGACAATAATAGCGACGATATGCGAGAATGTGCTTATCTAAAGGTTCATTCTTCTCATGAATATTTATAATTATCTATAAAAATAATCATATTTCAAAAATGCATGTTATACATATCAATAGGATGTTATACATATCAATACGGCTTTAATTACGAATAAACTCTTCTGTTATTATTCAGTACCTTTCCTATGTGTTTCCCACTGGCCATAAACCTGAAAGCTTCTTCAATATCAGTTTTTGGAAAAATGTTTGCTTGAATTGGTTTGATTGTTCCATTTTTTAAACCATCGCTTATCATTTTGAACATTAGAGACTTATATTTGAGATTATTAACAAACATAGAATCCAGCATAACTCCATGAAAGCTAATGCCTTTATTAAACTCAGATATATTCAGGGAATTATTAGATACAAGATCAAATTTTCCAATTTCTAAGAATCGACCATTTTGAGCTAAACATCGAACAGACGCGATTAATTTTTCTTCCGCCAATGAATTTAACACAATGTCGACTCCGCGACCTTTCGTCTGCTGCATTATCATTTGTTCAAAACTTGTATCTCGAGAATTTCCAATATGATCATCCAAAATAGTCGGAAATACTTTTCTAATAAAATCCCGTTTATCACTCGTGCCTACGGTAGTAAATACTTCGCATCCTTCTTTAAGAGCGAGATGAATAGCTGCTTGTCCAATGCCTCCAGTACCAGAATGTATAAGTACTTTATTACCTTTTTTTATTTTTCCAAAAATGTAAAAGGCGAAATAAACCGTGCTGTAAACTATCGGGATCGTTACTGCCTCTTCAAATGTCCATGCATCGGGTATCTTCCAACAAAGACTTTCATCCTTCATAATGACGTTTGCTATGCAACTGTGAAAGTATAGCTTTTATTTAGTGTCCATTTTTATTACACATCACAATAATTTCTTGTAGCATTACTTACTCAGTTTCACGAATTCCCATTATACGTTGTCCGTTAGCATCGAAACCTACGAATTCCATTCCAAAAGAATCATACTGAAATAATCGTCCTTTTAAAAGCGTATTTGGAAATGTCACTTTACCAGTGGCGAACATTACATCTTTAAAATTCAAAGATGAGTAAACAACGTGCACTAAATCCTCATGACGAGACACAATAGATAAATTATTTTCTATCCAACAGAATGTACTTAAGTTTCCTCGAACCTGTGAAAATAAAATTTTTGTAATATGGTACAACGTATATAGAATAGAATTCTAAAAGGAAGCTTCGTGATAACATTCAATATTTGAATGACATATTATTAAATTGTTGATTTTTATCATATAAATGTTCTACAAATAAGTACGTAGATTCATAATGTTATAATATCTTATATATTGCCGCAAAATTACAATTCTTTTCTGTACAGTTATCTCAGTTAATAATTAAACTTGAACATTAACATTAAAATCATAATTATTATCATTACTTCTTTGTTGCAGTCTCTTTTCCTTTCTGCTTCTTTTTCTATTAATTTTTTTATTCAGTTTTTTATCAGGACATTGTCCTGGAATTTTTCGAATCGGATATCCGGAAATTATCGGATATCCGATTCGAAAAATTGCCTTCTCGCATATCCGGATGTCGGATATCCAATGTATATTTTTTTCGATATTTGATATCCGATAATTTTACGATTCAGTACATTCCTATTATAATAGTAATTATCAATTATACGTTTTGAAAAAATTTGCATGTACCGTTTGGCAGACATAGGCGGTTTGTACAAGTTTCGGTTCCGGTTGTGGTAATTTTAAATGTCTGTACGATCCCCAGGTTTTATCAGATCGCAATACATTAATAGTCATATCTTTCTGCAATTGCTCTAAGTAGAAGGGATCTTGAAGAGAAAATTTAGGAGCTTTCTCATCTTGAATGAGAACACCTCTAACATATTCTCCGCCTGGCTCTTTTCTCAAGCAATTAATAAAACCCAATAAACCGCACTCAAAATTTTTCTCTCCCACAATTATAATTCTATTATTCTTGTCATCAAGATTGTTTTCGTCATTCAAAAGTGACTTTAGATTCTCTAGCCAATTAAAGTTATCATTACTTATGTAAACAACAGTTCTTTCTCTTATTAAAACTTTTTTTTTCAGAAGCACAACTAGCTCTTTATCAATGCGTTTTTCAAGTATAATATTTAATTCGTATTGTTGCAAATGTTTTTTATAATCAGTTAAGTCGCACTTCTCACGAGTCAACAGATAACCACCATCTCTCAAAAATGGCAACAGTTGTTCTAAAGATGCGAGTTTGGTCAAAAGATTGAATCCAGCAGCAATTAAAACTTTGTCTTTCACAGATGATTTTTCAAAATTTTTGATTGAGAAGTTTTGCGGTAAATTTTCTGGCTTGAAACGATTTGATGATGTTAACAGAGTGACATTCATTTGTATCAGTGGCAAATCACCAAATGCCTCAAGTAGCAACAAAGACGAGAGATGTTCTAATTCAACATCATCGACATCTTCCACTAGTTCAACGGCTTCCACTTTGATAATTTGATGATCTTCCAATACGAGTTGAGCCGATAACCGAATTGCTTCGTTCAAGGAAACCTTAGCGCGATCACAATGAGCTACAAATGTATGTTCCTCGATTACAGCATCTTGGGCTAATTTCCGGCGAGAGATCTGAGTAGCTTTTAGACCTCGAATCTCTATTCCACCAGCTTTTATCACGTCTATCTCTTTATATACTTGTACCTGTAATACTATAATATGATAAATAAAATAATACGCCTCATATTATGGAGATTTTTTTTTACATAATATTTACGAATTGAACTTTTAATAATGAAAATCAATTACGTTCTTCCATGTCTGTTGTAATTTCTGCATTATTTACGCTTTCCTGTAGCTTCGAAGCATGAAGCTTTGGATTGATCACTAATTTTTGGATACTCGTAGGAACATGCAATTCCCTAGTGTCATATCTGATAATTATCAATTGTAACATAGTATCCATAAAAGATTCCCAATTATTTTTCCAAATGACATGTCCTTGGGTTCCCGAAATAGAGGCACTCTTTAATCCACGAAAAAAGCCCTTGTATTGATATCCACGCAATTTCAACTCTTTGTAGATATCTCGTGCAGTCATATTTTCATCTTCACTATTTGCTGATAATAGATCTGTCGGAACCATTTCTTGTTCTGGATTCAATGTCTCATATACTGTACCTGTTACGACAATGCTGTCTCCTTCAGTTATTTCAAACTTTCCATCTGTAATATTCATATTTATTTGATTATATTGTATTTTTATCATCATATTATATTAACTGTGATCGATATTCACTAATCTATCGGATCAAGATATTTTTTTCAATTGCCTTGCAAAGAATTATATTATAATAAATGTTTAAATAATAATTTAAGGTACAATGAACCTGCGAATACTGCTATGAAAATTTCGGAGAAAATTCACTTAAATTAAAACAATTAATTCCGTAAATACCTGTCTGTATTGCAATGTATAGTTCCACAACATCCTTTTTCAACAAATTAGTAGCACGAATAAATTTTACATCTCGGAAAACTATTGGTATCGCTGTGAATATTGTCCCTTTCATCAAGCTAATAGTTTTCCAAACGAGTCCCAAATAACTTGTCGCAGGTAGCAAAATTTTCCCATCAACTACATGACCGGTCATATATTCATATTCTTCATTGTCGAGTCGAATGTTGATGGATCTCCCTCTTGATTTTATAGAAGTTACATTTTCTTTCGTTATAAACCAATTTGCAGAATGATCCCATCTAATTTATTATAATTCACGTTTATATATGAATAATTATACGTATACGCATATATATATATATAATATTACAATCTTAGAACATACATATTGGAAGAGCCAGTCGTAGGTGACTGTCGATGGCACCAACATCTATCTATCTTTATCTGAATGCTTCACTGTAATGCGCATACATCGATTATGAATATCCATAGGTACATACGTTCAAATTTCAAAGTTCGCAAAATGAAAGCATATAGAATTATTAAAAAATGGGATGTTATTGCGTTATATGTCTCAAAATATCAACGAACTAAAATATCTCTTCATACATAAGTATAGCCTTACTTCGTAGATAATTTTAAGTCAAGCTCTACATATTGAATTAATTTAAATTAATAAAAAAATATATAAAAAATATAAAATGTATGTATATTTTAAGTGTATAATTATAATCAACAACGACGAAAATTTGATAGCTGGGAACATTTCTTTTCCATCATTTTCAAATTTCAAATAACATAACTATTCTACATTTTTTTCAAGTCCGAATTACGCAGTATCATTACAACAAGCATTCAGACAAGAACAGGGAAATATTGGAGACACTTTTATTACATTGGTTAATATGGTATGGCCCTTCCAGTATGTTCTAAGATTACAACTATAATATATATATAAGATAGTTGGCTTAGAAATCGTTAGGGAATTAGTAATCGCCGAGATCACGTTCATCACGATCATTAAAGATGTATTTTAGTGTTTTCTGTCGATCTTGCTGATATTTTTATTGGTTCCAAGGAAGTATTTACAATATTGTGTTACATTATGAAACTTGTATATATATAAATTCACTATTGATTAAATCAAATATGTGCAGTAACCGAGCCTGCATGATTTCGTTCAAATGCTTCATTATGAAGTTAAGAGATATTATTTGATATCTCGTATGATTTTGGAATATTGGCAACTTGAGATAAATTGAGCTTCGAGTTATAAAGCTTCGAGATCGCAGTTTTACATACACCATCAAATTATTTCATACAAATTTCATAGGTTTTTTTACGTGACAAGCTCTGATTCAGTTTTCGAAGCACGTAGTCGTTCGAATAATCGCCATATTTGACGATTACTAGGATTAAATGGGCTGAAAAAAATTCTTGTAAATCGAATAATAATGTATCCAAAATCCAAATAAAAAAATTAGATCCGTAATTGTTATTATCTAGACATTCTATGAACCAGTAATCGGCATAGTCGAATTAATAAATAGATATGCAAGCAAATAAAGAATGTTGATCAGTGGATCATTTCTGTTTCGATAACTGACATATCTAGAACAAAAATCGGTACTATTCGAATGAAAACTAATTTTACAATTCTTTTCTGTTGAAACAGCTATTAATATTTATTGAAAATTTATAATAATGATAATTCTAAAAAAAAATATATAAAAAATTATAAAAACGTTACATCCGTGGAAAGTTAGCTTCTGCTTAGTTTAAATAAAATAATATCCCAAAAAAACGGAGTTCAA